TGGGCCCTCGGGTTCCAGGTTAATCTGGGGTCAATTGGGTGTGTCTCGAAATCAAAACTTCGCTAATTGCCCGGCTGAAACAAATTCCAAAGCTGGGTGTTTCAGGGGAGACTGACCTTCGAAGTTGCAACTTCTGGCAAAAGCTCTAGGGAATGATTCCTCATGCATTTCAACCATCGTTCCGATCGCTGCTTTCCCGAGGATTTTGATGGCTTCCTGAAAAGATTCGGATCCCTGGAAAGAATCGAAATGGAAGCTTCCCCATTCGAAAGGCGAGGGACCGGTCGATTGGTTGTATCGCTGGCGCCTGGAACAACCAAGCTTTTTGTCAAGCACCATTTTATCATATTCCGCCCCGTGGAGACCACGAAAACACGTGCGGCTATCATTTGTTTGGGTTCTTTCCAGCAAAACCTAATGTGGGTGGTTCCGCGCCCCAGGTGCTTGAACAGTTTCCTGGAGCTGAGCAGTCGCTATCAAACTGCTCTTGCAATCCCAGGAGGTTCCTGACTTGGGCCAAGCCTGTTCAAACAAGTTTGAACAACTCCTCAAACCTCCGGGAGACCAGTCCAAACTTTTAGTTACCACAATGGTCCAGACCCCCAAAGTGACTAAGGTGTCGTGAGACTTTCTCGTTACCCTAGGGTTCCTTGCCCCCATTAAAAGAAAGGTAAGGACCCAATGTGGATGATGACAATCCCTAGGAATTTTCACAATGGTGGTCATATGCCAAACCAAATTGCTTTAATGGTGGTAACTGAACCCCAGGAGTTAGCAAAGCATGGCCCACATTGCCTTAAGCCAAAGCGCACGGCTTTAGGGCCTGGCCCCCGTTGGGCTCGCCAGGCGAACCCAGGAATTTCACCCAATCGGGCGATTCTCTTCGAGGTGCAGGTTCACTCACACACGTCGCACTGCTGTTGACCTACGATTTGTAAATATACCATAAATAATGCTAACCGACTGCCCGATAGAAATAGTAAATATACCATACAGAATGCTAACCGTTTTTCCCAGGTGAAAAAGATGACAAAATAATATGAACTAATTCAAAAAATAACCTTCCCCCCACATGAATGAATCCCCAGCTCACAAAAGAACTCTAGAATTCCCATTGGGATCCATGCAAAATGCAGATTTTTATTCAGGGTCAGTGCTCCCAACCCTCATCCCCCACGAGATTTGCATGGTTTTCATAGAACATGTTTCAGGGATCATGCCAGGGAAGCTTGATTTACCATGGGATTTGCATGCTTGTGGCATCTAATCTTTATTCAGGGTCAATGCTCCAAACCGTCATCGCCCATGAGATTTGCATGGTTTCATAGACAATTTACCCAGGGATCATGCAAGAAAAAACCTGATTTACCATGGGACTTGCATGCTTCTGGCATCTTTTCTTTATTCAGGATCAGTGCTCCAAACCATCATCCCCCATGGGATTTGAATGGTTTCATAGTGAATTTACCCAGACATCATGCCAGGGAACTGATTTACAATGGGATTTCCATGCTTCTGGCACTGTTTTTTATTCAGGGTCAGTGCTCCCAACCCGCATCCGCCATGGGATTTGCATGGTTTCCACAGTGAACTTATCCAGGTATCATGCTCGGGAAACCTGATTCACCATTGGATTTGCGCTCTTTTGGCATCTAATCTTTATTCCAGGGTCAGTGCTCCCAACCATCATCCGTCATGGGGTTTGCTTGGTTTTCATAGAACATGTATCCAGGGATCACGCCAGGGAAACCTGATTTATCATGCGTTTTGTGGTTGCTTTTAGCATCTAATCTTTATTCAGGGTCAGTGCTCCCAACCATCATCCCCCATGGGATTTGCATGGTTTCACAGTGAATTTATCCAGGGATCATGCCAGGCAAACCTCCTGTTTGCATTGCGTGCTTCTGGCACTGTTTGTTATTCAGGGCCAGTGCCCAACCCTCATCCCCCATGGGATTTGCATGGTTTTCACATCGGCCCTGGCAGCAAGGGTATCCCCCATGAACCCTGATGCACTAAATAATAACCAGGCCCTGAACAAGGCTAACCACATTCCCCCAGCAAAAAAATAGACATGATCCCCTTATCTTTATTCATGGTCAAGCTTTCCATTCCACTTGGCTCATCCCACACTTGATTCTAAATTTATCCAAAACCCACAAATTTATGGGATCCCTTTCTTTTCAGATTCCTTTTAACAAACCATCAAAATCAACACATTGACCCTGGCAGCAAGGGTATCCCCCATGAACCCTGATGCACTAAGTAATAACCAGACCCTGAATAACGCTAACCACATTTCCCCAGCAAAAAATAGACATGATCCCCTTATCTTTATTCATGGTCAAGCTTTCCATTCCACTTGGCTCCAGCAAGGGTATCACCCATGAACCCTGATGCGCCAACACTGAATAATGCTAACCAGATTCCCTCTAAAAAAACTGATCCCTCCAATTATCTACATTTGACTCAGCAAGTTCAATCCATGAATCACCGCTCAATGATGACATGGCTGCAACGCTGGCCAAGCTTTTGCTCACTCTTCCCTCAAAAAGTTGATGCTCTCAACATCTCCTGAAATGCATGCACATCCATGCACATATCATGAATGTCATGCTGATGCACGCTAACCCATGCAAAATGTAATGATTTCCATGCTGAATCCCTCTTGAAATGCATGCTAGCCCATGCCAATCCTCATGACATTCATGCTGAACACCTCCTGAAACGCATGCAAATCCGTGCACACCCTCATGAATGTGATGCTGAATCCTGCCTAAAACGCATGCCAACCCATGTAAGTCGTAATGGATTTCATGTTGAATGCCTCCTCCTGACATGCATACTAACCCACGCAAACCCTCATGAATGGCATGCTGAACCCATTCTAAAATGCATGCCATCCCATGTAAATCCTAATGGATTTCATGTTGAATGCCTCCTGAAATGCATACTAACCCATGCAAACCCTCATGAATGATGTCATGCTGAATCCTTTCTAAATGCATACCAACCCATGTAAATCCTAATGGATTTAATGTTGAATGCCTCCTGAAATGCCTACTAACTCATGCAAGCTCTATGAATGGCATGCTGAACCCTTTCTAAAATGCATGCCAACCCATGTACTAGACTATGCAAATCTTAATGCACTTCATGCAAAAGTTGTTGGCCCAATGCTACTTCAGAATTGGCCCAAAACTATATAAGAATTCACCACAAATAAAATAAGAAAACATGCCCAATGCTACAATTGCCTTGGCCAACGCGAACCCTTTTGGAATCCCTCTTGGAATACATGCCTGCCCATGCAAACCCTCATGAATTTCCTTCCCAATCGTTCCTGGAATGCATGCCAGCCCATGCAAACACTCATGAGTTTCCTTCTCAATCCCTCTTGGAAAACATGCCAGCCCGTGCAAACCCTCATGAATTTCCTTCCCAATCCCTCCTGGAATGCATGCCAGCCCATGCGAACCCTCATGAATGTCCTTCTCAACCCCTCCTAGGAATACACGCCAGCCCATGCAAACCGTCATGAATGTCCTTCTCAACCCCTCCTAGAATGCATGCCAGCCCATGCAAACCCTCATCAGTTTCCTTCTCAATCCCTCCTAGAATGCATGCCAGCCCATGCAAACCCTCATGAATTTCCTTCTCAATCCCTCCTGGAATGCATGCCAGCCCATGCAAACCCTCATGAATTTCCTTCCCAATCCCTCCTGGAATGCATGCCAGCCCACTCAAACGCTCATGAATGTCCGAATGCATGCCAGCCCATGCAAACCCTCATGACTCATGAAATGCATGCAAAAGTTCTTGGCTCAATACTACTTTAGAATTGGCCCAATTCTCAACTAGTATTCCCCCAAAGTAAAATAAGAAAGAACAACATGCCCAATACTACTTTTGAATTGGCCCAATTCTAGAGTAGTATTCGAAAACCAAAAAAACAGAGCCCAACACTAAACTCCTTTAAACAAAGCCCGACCCTGAAAATTGTCCCCTAATCTTTATTTAGGGTCATTCAGGAGGGGGGGCCCTATTTATTAATCATAGGTCAACACTAACTGACACACGTCCACGCTAACTCACACATGTCCACGCTAACTCACAAGTTGTGACTCCAAGTGTCCCACTTTGGCAAAACACACACACACAGAAGCACGCAGATGCGAAGGGTTGATGTGCATGAACAATGCTTCGGAGTGAGTCAGCTTTTCATCTGCCTAAGGACATATTCTCCACCTCACTGGCAATTATCATAGGTGATGAAAGTGAACGACACATATGCTTGGTGTCTCCCAACAACATGGAAAATAAAGCCTTGCAAGAGGACTATAGGACACTCATCTATGAATCTATGCGGGTTATGTTCCATTGCCTTATGCTAACTTGGCAGCTGGTCAACTTTCAAGGCAACAACCCTCCACCAGGACTCCAAGCTGGCTCCAAATACCTACATATAACTAAGATTAGTTCATTGATTGACATTGATTGATTAAATTGGCTCCCCGGATCTGTCCACTCCTCTACGGTGGTGCGGCCCCTGCGATGGCTCCTGGAGGCAACAGGCGTGTCGGACAGTCGCCACGCAAAAAGAATGAAACAAATTGCATCCCTGCAATTTTACAAGTGGGGGCATCCAAAGCTAGCCTTGCCTGGCCCATTTTGCTCTTCGTAAGAACTTGAAGTTTGGCTAGCTTTGCTTTGAACAGAAGACTTTCAGTCCACTTGAACCTGTCATCCGATCCGCCATTCTGTACACTGCACACACACGGTCGGTGGCAGATTGGGGCTGCTTCTTCTTGTATCACATTCGCCCAAGGCCGAGGGGGAGCAAACAGCAAGCAAATGTTCCCAGTAAGTGGTAAGAATCATTTGACTCAAAACGAAACATAACACACTCGTTTCTCGTTTCTACCCCCCGGCCTCTCGCCACCCTGTCGACTTCACAGCTGCACTCGACAGTCGACAGTCCGCCTAGGCACTTTGCACCCTTACTGCGTGACGGTGTTCGCATTGACCGTGACCTGCTTGCCGTCCAAGATAAAGTAAAACTTGGGGAATCCCAGCAACATGGAGCCAATGAGAGATCCGCCCCTTCGCCTGTTAGCCTCTGGCTGCACCAAGGAATGGAAGCTCGCCCACTTGCTCCGATGCTGGTGCACCTCGGGCTTCAGATTGGTGGGATACATGCCGCCCGCCAAGGGCCACTCCTGCTGGGCTGGAAGACACGCATTCTCCAGCACCATGAACCATTGGGCGTGGACCTTCACAAAGCCTCGCACAGTTGCCCGCGGCTGCAGGCCCCAGCTGGCATCCAGCCGAGCGCTGCTGGGCTCATCACCGCGGGGTGCCTGCGGCAGCTCGAACTTTCGCTGGAAGACATTCACCACGATCTTGCTCTTCAGAACATCCGTGGCGGTTTCCAAGCGCGTGATGTATGCAGGAGCAAAGTTTCGGATGTCGACTTCCAGGCGACCGGCCGCGCCCTCGCCCATCGAGGTCACGCGCTGGATGAAGCCGTCCAACTCCTCAGCCTTACCTTGGTGGCTGTTAACCCCTTCTGCAAGAAGTTCAACTTTTTGGGGTTTAGTGGTAAACACCTTTATTTCTCTAAAGATCCAACCCAATAGCAGTCAGGTTACAGCGCTCCGCCAGGCATCTTCTCTTCGCCTTTGGTTGGAGAAGTTCCTGGAAGCGCTGCTGTGCCTTGATTGACGTTGGAAGGGGAGCAACAAAAATGAGTTTTAGCAGTCAAGTGGTTGGATTTCAACCACTAAGCCACAATAAGCAAACATGTAAAATGTTTCCCAACAACAACCATGGTGCGCCCTTTGCTGCATAACCATTCGATTGGCTCACCAGCCGCAGTTCGACATCTGCCTCTGAGGCCAACAAAGCCCGTGGCTCTCCGAAGAGCTTGGACCATTCCGCCTCCTTGGCTGCCAACTTCTTCTGCTCTGCCTCTGATAGCTCCACTGGCTTCTCCACAAGGTCCTCCGGTAGCACTGTGACCCGACACACCGTCATCTTGTTGTCCTTGGCGCGCGTCCGAGGCCAAGTCCCCTCATGCTCTGCCACCTCTTGGCCTGACTTCCTGACCGTCATCTTGAACGGGACATCCTTCTTGTCCCGATTGTTGAAGTTGTTCACCATGATCTCGAAAGTCCCCACTTGGTTCAGGGAGATGTTTTCCGCTGGATGCTTCTCTATGCTGGAGGCGTTGGCGTCAAAGTCCAGCTTGCACTTCCCCACCTGTTTGTTGGCATAGTAGAGCTCTGTGCCATTGACCACAGTGTGTATGTCCAGGTCTGATTGGTGAGGGGCCCCGTCCAAGCCCCACATGAGTGTCACTGTACAAAGGGAGGCCACACGGTTCTCACGTAGCCGCTCCGCGACGCGGGAGACTTGGTAGGTCTCGGGCTTGCTTCGGTCGTCCATCATGGCCTTCAAGGCCTCACGGCTCTCGGCGCTGTCCATGAAGTCCACCAGGTTGGCGGCCTGCTGCATTTCCAAGTGGACAGCATCGCTTGCACGGCCTGTGAGCATGGCATAGACCATGAGATCAAACTTCTGATGCACCGCCATCTCCGGCCAGGCTCGGCCCTCCGCACGGGCTGAGAGGTTCACCGCCCAGGTCACCACACCTCTCCAGTGATCTGGCCGCACCAGGTCCGGCAAGACATCCTGGATGACCTTCAGGGAACTGGGGCCGTTGACCAATCTTTGGAAGCGGTTCTCAAAGCTGCCGTTGAGATAATTCTTCAGCTTCTTGAGCCTCTCGCTGAGCTGGGCATCGGAGATCTCTTCTTGCAAGAAGTGCACGTGACAGAAGGGGCCCACCTCCTTGGGATTGGCCTTGAAGAACTTTTCATCCACCAGCACGAGACGGTAGTCAGCAGGATCGCTGCTCTTGATCTGGCGGCGCATCGATCGAAGTGCGTTCACATTCGCATCGTCCAGTTCCTCCCTGAGGTAGACATGCTTCCCCTCAGCGCCCAGGAGCTGTGCGAAGCTCCGGATGCGCTTGATGCACGTGCTGCACCTCGTGCTGAGGTTGGCGGAACAAAGCCGAGCCGCTGTCTTCGGCAAAGCTTTCTTGGGCCGCAAGAGGTACAACAAGGTCTTCCCGTTCACTTGTACTGAGGCAGCCTTCAAGGAATTGCTCTCGATCTGAGCATAGACCTCTGGGGGGCTCTCCACCTGCTTCTCTCCAACCATCTCCCATTCTCCATCGGACGCCATGGCGGGTGGTGGGCCACGTCTGTGATTGTCTTAAGCCAACACATGATAAGTATATAGTTGCCTCTCACAAGATGAGGAAGCGAACGCTCCAAGCATGTTTCCTCATGCAGGTGCACGAACGTTGCTGCTGCTGAGGCCCCTACGCGAGTCTGCCAATGTCCTGAACCTTGGGAATCATCGGATTACGAGAGCTTCGAGGCTCGTGAAGCCTCGTGGAAAACGCATGGCTTCTCCATTGCGATGTTTTTCAAGAACCGGCATGAACAGGGATCCTTACATTGTACACCTGAACATTGTCTTGTCAATGGTGGTTTCCCTTTTGTTTGGTGGAAAAAACATGTTTCAAATGGGCAACATGTATCTTTTAAGGAGCCCTGATGAATCAGCTGCGATGTCTTGAGGCCCCTGCACTTTGCACCTCCTCTTCCGTCACTGCGACACGGGACTCCTGATGCTCCGTGCGCAAACATCGAACAACATGAGGTGCAGCATCAAGGACAGAAAGCTCAAGCTACAAGGGAATCTTCTTCAGCCAATGGAGTGTCGACGCCCGAAGAAAGGGGCTCGTATCCTGAACACTGGTCACAAGGTCGGCCCTCAATGTCTGAAGCCACACATTGAGACTTCCTACTGTGGATGGACGAAATCTTGCACCAGCTAAGAAACCCTGGAATCGGCATGACTCTTCCCCTGCAAATACCAACAAACAATGGTTTCCCATATTTTCAAGGTGGTGCGAAATGGATTTCGTCCATCCACAGCACTTTAAGCTTGTCAACATTTGTCGACAAGCCTCCCAAGTCTCCACCCTAGGCCGGGCCATCTGGCCCAAGAAGAGCCCAGCTCCTGGCCATCTGGCTCTCCGCCGCGGCCTCGCGGCTTCCATGGGGCTCACACCGGGGCCCCCGAGAAAGAAAACAAAAAACGAGCCGAGGTTGCTCAAGCAGACCCAGACCCGCGGCCAGGGGACAAAACACCGGGCGCCCTTTTTTTTTGGCTCGACGGAACCAAGAGAAAGTCCCGGAGAGATGGAAACTCCCTCCAAAGGAGGAAAAGGCAAACCACTGGTCCCAGGGAAACTGCGTCCAAAGGAGGAAACAGCCAACACTGCGTGTCTGGGAACAGCATGAATTTGCACCTCGACTTTTGAAGTCCATGATGCTCACATCGCTGGTTTTGAAGTCCTAGAGAGTTTCAGCCGAACCTGCGGGGTCCAGCTTCGAGTTGCCTGGAAATCAGCATGCTGTACTGTGTATAGTTCCCCTCGCAACACAAGGGACATTCGAGGGGAAACCTGCAGACCCCAAGATAGCCCAGGACATGCCTCAAACGGAGGCGCGACTTTGGCAAATCCCTGTACCAGTGTCATGGGACAATTCTTTTTTTTGTGTTCAACTTGGGTCCTTCCGGACTCCACCAGTGTGAAGTGGTCGCTACAGGCGTTCAGTAAGATATGAGCCCGATACTGCCACATGAGCAGAGTCTTGTTTGGGGTACATAAAAAGGGGAACTCCGCGGAACCTACGCGAGCTGCATTTTTTGCAGGGTTTCAGCCGACACGGAGGCAGTTCCTACGCAAAAAGCCTACGCGGCCTACGCGGACTGCGCAGGCACACTATTCCAGCCTACGCGGCTCCGGGCGCTACAAAAACAACCTCTGCTCACATGACTATGTACCCTGCAAAAGGTGTGGGAAAGCGCTTTGGGGTGTAGAGAAACCATTTTTGACCCGCTAGTCTTGTCAGTTGCTCATGCTAAGTCTCAGAGCCTTCCTGCGAATCGCCCATGCAGGCCGCGGCCTCTCCCCTTGCCATGAGAAGTTCGGATCTCGCGCGCTGGCGTCGCTTCCTGACAAGTGGCTGATCGATGCGACAAGTCACTATGTCAGCTCCAGCGAGCGAACGGGAGCTAAGGCGGGAGCTGAGAACACTCGAATTGGGGACCACGGAATTGTCTTGTGCTTCGGCCATAACCTCGGAACACACATTTCAGGGATTTCTAGATCTTGCGGATGTGGGTACAAGAAACCTTTGTTCAGGAACAGCCAACACACGCTGCACATAAGACGGCCGGCATCTGGGGTGTTCCAAGATTAAATATTGTCTACCCTCCCACGAAGATGGCTCCCGCGGGACCTGAAAAATCAGTTTCAACTCTTTGGACCTGAACCCCTGTCACCTGCCATGGCAACGTGGGAGAGAGGGTATCTAAACTTCTGGGATCAGAGACCGCATGTGGGTATGAAATTAACTTAGGGACCCAGATTCGGTGGATATCGACATTCGGTGGGGATTTATGACTCATTAACCACTTTTGAGAGGGTTCCAACCATTCAAATTAATACCTAAATTCTCCATGACCCTTGAAAAATGGGTCCATGACCCCTTGATTTTGGGTAATGACCCCGTTTTTTAAGGGTCATGGAGACTCCAGGTAGCGTCCAGTACAAGTCCGGCCAGGAATCTAAAGAAGACACAGAGCAGCTGCCGAAGCTTTAACTGTCCCTTTGCCACGGCACCCGGACCCTTCCGAACGAGTGGACTGGCCAAACAAGAGTAGCCAAACGGTTTATTTACCACTAAAGTGGTCCAGACCCAAACGGTTTTTAAAAGTCTGAGCAGCTGACAAGTCCTTAGAGGAAAATTGAACTTCCAGGTGCCAGCCGACAGGTGCGTTTGGTGAGAAGGTCGCGCTTAACTGAAGTTGGACTCAGTTGCCCAGTTCGGACCCAGGACTAAAAGGTGATCGCCTCTTGGGGCCTCGAAAAATGGACCAAATCATACAAACCCAAAGTTGTCCAAAGGTCGATTCGCTTTTGGGCAAACTAAAGTTAGACCATTGAACAGGTAATTCAAATCGCTTCCCGTGCCTCTCCTCTTAATGTTGGCCCCAAATCAACAAACCCCTGTTTATGAATATGGGGGTGTCCCTGGTTTTAGTGGGGATTTATCACTTTTGGAGGGGAACACCCTCATATTAATAAACAGGGGTGTATCAATCCTGGGTCAACATCAGTGCGACCCGAGTGATCGAAGCCTCAAAGAGGGCGCAAAGAGGGCGCCCGCCTGCGGGTCCTGGAAGAGCTCGCCGGCGGCGAACTCCTCTCTGCAACTTTGGCAATGTCTGGGCGGCCCCGTTTTCAGATGCCCTCAAAAGTGACGAACTTTGAAAAAATAGGGGGTTAAATGCGGAATACCGAACCACTAAAACATCTTCAGAAAGATGATGATGATGATGATGAAGTGTTCCTCTTCTTCTTCTTCCTCTTCTTCTTCTTGCTTTTTTTCTTGGGAGGGGGGGGGGCAAAATGAAACCCAACCGCTAAGAAGTCTAAACAGATCTACTTTTGTATAGGAGGGGCTAAATTCGGAAACCCAACTTCTACACCTACAAAGAAAGATCTCAAAAGCGGAACCGCATGGCTGGAGCCAAGATATCACCTAAAAAGGTCTCTCCAGGAAAAGAACCCAAATGGGTGTGGCTCAAATTAAACCGGAGGGGTTACGCAGGTTTTGGTCCATGTTTCCACTTACCAGGCTTCCATTTTGGAATTCCGGGTTTTCGAGCCACAGCCAAATCATGGTACAGCCTCAGAGCTCGGCATAGACTTCTCCGCCGGATCAAACTGCATTGGATCGGATCCGATCAGCGCAAGTGATCCCTAGGAAAGCAACAGGGGGCAAAGAAGTCACCAGGAGTCTCTATGATCCTGCAACAAAAAGGGATGGGGTCTCTCAAACACGTGGCCGTTGAAAAAACAGAGGCGTCTTCGGGAGCCTGGAACTCCAGACATGTCGGAGTCAGCCACATGGTCGGCAATCTCTGTAGTCCCAGCTTGAATTGAGGTCTGGTCGGCAACAACTCAACCCAGAAAAGCAGCGAAGCTGCTTCAACTTCAAGGTGTCTTGTGTTTCATGCATAAACAACACGTTTTCAAAGAGACCTCAAGGTCATCCGTTCTGTGGGGGAACTGGAAAAACATGGCCTCAGCATGGGTCTTCGGCTTCTCTCTCCCTTTAAAGCCAGCCCTTGTTCCACGCGTCCAACTTGAAATCAAAATCGAACTCGGGGGCCGCTTCGCAGCTTTTTTTCGGGAAGTCGGACATCTCGTCCTCTGCCAGCGCACCATCCACAGCTTCCCGTAGGAGAACGGAACGTGGCCCACCTGGCACTCACGCACTCACCGTCTTGGCCTACGACGCAACCCCGATCCGATGGTCTGATCTCGTGCAAGGCATTGGCTTTCATGTGGACCCCAAATGTTCATCAACCCCCAGCTGTTTCTTCCTAAGTGGTCGGATTCCAACCACTAAGCCCAGAAATGGACACCCCTGTTCATACACTCGGGTTGATTAATAGGTCAACATGATCTCAGTTGCCAGGGATGGGGCCTGGAAATACCAGACGATCACCTGTTGGGCCCACAAATGGGCACCCAAAACGGGGGAAACAAAAAGCCGAAGATCCGGATTCGCGCTGTTGGTCCAATCCCTTGATCTCCAATGCTTGGGGTATTGAAAACCATGGTTCCTTCCAAACTCACTTCCTGAGTCTCAGATGCTCAGTGGCCAGGGGAAAAAAGAATCGGCATCCTTTTTGTTTGGCTAAGTTTAAAGGAACCGGAACCCTTCCCCAAAAAACAGTTGAAAAAAGGGCACCACTGGGCAACAGAGTGAGCAACAGTGGATTGGCCAACATAAAGTCCTGAAACTTGTTATGTACGACTAACATGGTCCAAACCCAACATGCATGAGTTCAGAATTGCTCATTTGTGGCAAAACAGTCATGTCGTATGGCCCAAATCCAGTCCTTCGCTTCTAAGGCTCGGTACGTGTGATCTGACGAGCCATTGCGGCCTGGTAGCTATAAGGAAATACTTGGATGTTCGGCCAAGCTTGTAATTGGTTAACGGTTAAGCCCTCTTAGGGGGACAAGTGGATATTGAATGTTTGTGACCTAGGTTACCAACAACTAGCTTGGCCGAACACACAAGAAATACT